AGCATATTTCTCTTATTTTTTATACATATTTTTATATTATTTAATATATAAATAATAAATATTAAACGAGCCAGCTAACGAGCCGAGCTTTAGAATGTTTAAGTTTGCTTATTAAAAATTTAACGAGCTCGAGCTCGAACGTAAAAAAAAATTAACGAACAGAGTTCGAATGAGCTCTTACCAAATCAAATTTGAATTTGTTCACAAATGACTCTATTTATTTACTACCCTAAATAAAAAAAAAAAAAAAAAAAAAAAAAAAGAAGGTGGTATAACAACAAGGCTCAAAACACAATCCCAAAGGTCACAAGCCTCCATTGACAAACCACACAAAACCTTGTTTACCACGACGAAAAAAAGGAAAAAAGAAATCTCAGAGGCCAGGAGGGCTATAGGTAGAAGAACATACAATGAGGAAAAGAAGATACACTGAAATCACTCATCAAAAATACAAGGACAAATTATATTAATAGTACCTGCATTTTGCCTTTTGTGTAAATTTAGTCTCTGTAATTTTAATTAGTTTAATTTTAATCATTAATTTTAAATTTTGTATCAATTTAGTCTAATTGATAATGCTGATTAAAGTTTTTGAAAGAAAATGATTACTACGTTGGTTGAGATTAACTTATTGAGTTGAACAAGTTTATAATTTTGTTTAAAAAAATATAATATATACTACTCATGTGCGTATTTTCAATTAAAAAACACTAACAATTATAACAATTGGATCAAATTGAGAAAAAAATCATAAATTTAAGATTAAAATTGAGTAAATTGAAGGGATGCTTTTTCATAAATCATTTTTCACCTACTTATGTTCCATTTAGTTTACATTATTTTTTTATATTCTAATAAGTTCTATGAGTGACATATTTATCAAAATATCTCCAATAATATTCACATTTACCGTGTGAATGTTCCGTGATGTGAATAGTCGCACCGTCAATATGAATGTTCACACTGTCAATGTGAACATTTACACGCCAATGTGAATATTTACATTGTAAAATATGATTGTTCACATCACCAAATTACTGACCGTTCAAAATATTTGTAAGAGTGAAAATATCCATAAAATACTTTAAATATAAGAATTAGGATTTAATAGATCAAATGTTCAAATAATAGAACTTATTGGAATACAAGAATATCTTATGAACTAATTAAAATACAAACCCTTAAAAAAAAATTTCTAATAAATCTCTCTAAATTAAAATCGTTAGAATCAAAATAACACAAAAATCAAAATATAAAAACTACTAACATAATTTATTCAAAATACAAACACAACCAACATTTTGGGTTCTACTCAACCAGTCAAACCGAGATAGTATGAAATATTATTAGAAGGTAACCACTCACCCCCTTGAATAAAATTCCCAACGGTAAACTGAGTCGCTTCGGTGACATTCGTAATGACTCTGTAACCAGGCCAGGTCACTCTGGCACTTGTGTTCGAACCCGGACCCCTGTTCTTATACTCCCCATAATAAAGGGTCGACAACGCAAAAGTACCATTCCATTCCAACCAGCCAGCAGGGTCTACCAAATCGCCGATATTCGAAAGAAGATACACCGTCCTCGAATACTCTTTCCATGGCCTGCCAAGGTAGGTTCGGAAGGAGGACTGGACAGGAATTAAGTCCGATGCAGCGGCAACTTTAGAGTTTAGGATTGAAATGCCGGTGTTTTGGTTCGGGTCCTCTCTTCCCTGAGCGGTGAAGATGTTTCTTTGGTTGTCCATTGGTTTGCGCGCGTATAAGTTGCAGTTTTGGAAAACTACAGCTGCGTTGCCAAATATGAAGTCGATGGTTCCGTAGATGTCGCATTCGCGGTAGAATTGGCGGAGGGAGTGGACGTAGAGGGTGTCTTGGTAGCCGACGAAGCTGCAGAGGTAGAAGGCGGAGAGGTCTGCTCCGCTACGTAGAGCCACTGCTTGGTGTTTGCTTGGGCCGGCGTAGTTTTCGAATGATATGCCTTTGGCTATGAAACCGTCTCCTACTACAGCTGCCATTTTATGGAAGATATCAAAGCAGAATTTAAGCTTACATTGGGCGTTGAAGAACCACATGAAAAGCACAAATGTATGTTATTAACTAGTTCAATATATCACTGACTGATGCTGGAGATTCTAAAAATCATATTAAAATATGAGGGGCTTGTTTGATTTGTTTTTGGCAGAGTTATTTTTGAAAATGAGGGGCTTGTTTGATTTGTTTTTGGCAGAGTTATTTTTGAAAAATTTTTTGGAGAGTGAGTTTAAATTTTTTTTTTTTTTTTTTTGTTTGGTTATATATTTTGGGAGAGTTATTTTTTTTTGAGAGTTTGGGATGATTTGATATTTTGGAAGAATTTGAGTAGATGTGTGTGAGAAAAAGCGATTGATAAGGAGAAAGGAGAAAGAAAAAGTGATTGATTGATGTGTAAGAGAGAGAAAATGATTTTGAAAATTTTTTGAGAAAAACTCCAACCAAACAATTTTTTAGAAATTTTTTTCTAAAACTCATCTCCCAAATGCAAACCAAACACATAATTGGTAAAAGATTTTGTAAAATTTTTAAAATTTTTAAAATATTTAGGCCTTGTTTGGTTTGTATTTGAGAAACATGTTTTGAAATAAAAAATACGAAAATTTGTTTGGTTTGATTTTTTTTCAAAAGATGTTTTGAAAAATTATTTTGAGAGAGAGTTTTAGAAAAAGTGATTGATTTAATGTGTATAAGAGAGAGATTTGTTTGAAAAATTTAAAAACTAAACAAGTTTTGAAAAAATTTGTTTGGTTTGATTACTTTTGAAAATTTATTTGTAGATAATTTTTTTCAAATTTTTTTTCAAAACACAAATCAAACAAGGCCTAAGTATTTTTGTATATCTATTTATATTATATATGTGAACATTGAAGTTGCTGTCCAAATCTTGTGTACATGTCACATGATAAATTTTTATACGCTAAAATAAAAGAAAATATACTGGGGTGTTTGGGAAGAAAAAAAATAGCCTAATTTAGGCTAAAAATTACAAAAAAGATAAAATAGGCTAAAATAGCTAATATGACAAAATATCACATCAAACCCATAATCATTTCACTTTTTCTCTCACAAACATTATATCCAACCACAAAAAAATCCAATCATCTTCCTAAACATAAAAATTTTAGCCTACTAAAATAGTCAAAAACTAAAATAACCTACTAAAATAGCCACTTCCCAAACGAGGCCACTATATCATAGCACAAGATTTGAAGAAGTCATCTTAAATTTTATTAAATAAGTGTACTTTTTAACTTTTTATGAAATATAATAAACTTATCGTTTAAGTTATTTACATATTATAATATTATTTATTTTTATTTATCTAAATTAAACACGTATTGCACACAAATATATATACACAAGTATATAAGATTTGATTAGACCATTTCCAATGGTTCATCAGATGTATCACTAAATTCAAATTTGGTGAAAAATAGAAACTTTTTATGCTCTAATAGTTTCACCAAAACGATATTAAATTGAGAAAATAGCAAATCTTTCACCAAATTGAAGATCTGGATACCTTTCACCAATTTATTGTGTAGGACCGTTGGACATATCGGACGATCGGCCGGATGTCCGACCAATTGTCCCCCCGGTCATCCGATTACTTCAATGATTCTCACATACCAAATCTGAAGGAAGGAGATGAAGATAAGGAAGAACAAAGGAAGACGGCTATGGGGAAAGAGGAGGAGACTAGTTTTCCAAGCTTTTCTTGGAGGCAAAAAGCACTGATCCATGATCCATGTCTTCTTGGAGACCTTCCATCACCATTGCTACACCCCTCAAAAGCTCTCTACAATCAATCACCAAAGTGGCTTTCTTGTGATTCTTCTTCCAAGTGTTGATGTTTATAACTTGCTCAACCAAGACCCATTTTACCCATTAATACAAATATTACAAAGCAAATCCAGAACCTAATCTCCCTGCCACTCAAGAAAAGAATATGGAGAGAGAGAGAGAGAGAGAGAGAGAGAGTTGGGGGTAGGGGTTTGTTTAGGTTCAATCACAATTTCAAAAAACAGCATTTTTTTTTTAGATTGTCTTGTCGGTCGATCGGCTAGACGTTCGGAAGGTCGTCCTCCGGTAGACCGGCATTTTGTTGAAATACCGTTGGAATGTTGGATATCAAATAAAGAAATTTTTTAAATTTTTAATCAAATTTAATGAAATATTTAATTCACCGTTGGAGATGCTTTTAGGGTGGTATTATTTTTAAAACCAAAATTAAAGAAATAATTTAAAATAAGAGAAGACACTAACTAACTACCTACCTACCTATAAAAATAATTTAACATATGACACTACTGACTTACAAAAATAATTTTAGTTAATTAATACATTTTAGGTTTTGGATTTTAGAAAATACTTTTTTAGAAAATTTTATTTTTTATATTTTTTTGTATTTTTTTTAATTTTCAATGAATTTTTTTAGGATAAATTACAAACATATTCCATGAGATTTACTTAAATTATAAATTACCTCTTATGATTCTAGAAATTATATTATACCTCCTAAGGTTTCTAATTTTATAATAAATAGATCATTTTATTAATAAATCATCAAGTTAATTAATAATTTTTAATAATGTTAAAATTTTATTTCAATTAATAATTCAAATAATTTTATTATTGTATAGGTGAACAGTTAGAAATTTCATTTTTTCAATTAATTCTATTAAATAAAAAAATTCTGACAGGGATGTATTTGTAATTTTCCAAACCACAGGGGCAATTCATATTTTAAGCAAACTTCATGAGGTGTATTTGTAATTTACCCATTTTTTTAATATTTTAAGTATTTTTTTTTAAATCTTTAGACAAATTTAACATAAATACACTTAAAAAGTATAATATTTGTGAAAAAATCTTTAAAAAATTTACTAAATACCAAAAATATAAGAAAAATATGAAAATTCAGTATATTTTTCATATTTTGTATATTTATTAATTTTTAAAAATATTTTTTCACAAATATTTTACTATTTAGATACATCTAAGTAAAGTGCATCTAAAAAAATTAAAAAAAATTAAAATTTTAAAAATATTCACTAAAAACAAAAAAAAATAAGAAAAATAAAAATTTCAATTTTCAAAAAACTAAAACCAAACACAATAGTTTTATAAAAATTTTATGTAATTTTTTTTATCAAAATGTTGTGGTATTGGCATTTTTATAATTATTCTATTTTAATAAAAATATATATTTTTTAAAAATATATCCAAATAATTTAAAAAGTCATTTTATTTTTTAGCTTTTTTATGGGATTTTTTTTTAGCTTAATAAATGATTTTAAAAGTGGTGTTAATCAGATCCAAATAAAAGTAATTGTGAGGCACTCAAGTTGTCTCATTGCATTTGATTTTGTCGAAAATATCATAATTAATTGTTGGGTATACCTCCTTATTGGAGTGTGGGACCCAATTGGTTTGTTAAAGAGTTTCAATTTAACTTGGTTTAGTATAATATATTTTTATATATTATATTTGAGGAGACCCAATTCAATTTGAATTTAATTAGGGTTTGATTACAAAAATCCTAGATTCACAATATATTATTTTATATTGTTTTTCCCAAAGACAAAAAAAGGACGGCTGTTTTTTTTGGGTGAAAGCACTCTTGCAAAGTGCTGCGGCTAATACAGTTCATGTGAATTCAATCAATTCGGTGGAAGTGCTTTGGTGCATCTTCGGCTTTCAGTTCTGATTTGGGTTCGTTATTTTGGGTCTTCTTCAACTTTGGTTCAGAAGATTTTGGTTCTTCTATTTGGTGAGGTCTTTCCTCTTTGTTTATTTGTGATTATTTGGAATTCACCTAAGGGTGTTTTGACAAAAAAAGTCAAAAAAGCCAAAAAGCCAAAAAGCCCTTCCCAAACCAAGCTTTTTAGCCCAGACTAAAATAGCCAAAAAAGCCAAAAAACCAAAAAGCCAACCCACTTTCCAAACGGAGGCTAAATTATTTGTATATTTTATATGGGCATTTGAATGAAAACATAGAAGAAGTAAAATAGGTGTCAAAAACAAAACATGATCCAAGTGAAATACACAAATTAAAATTTGAAAATAGGGAAAAATAGTGTGTGCATTTAGTTTTAGTTTTCTAAGTTCAATTTTCTTAAAATTGGACATTTTTATTATTCGTGTTTTTTTTTTAAATTTTTAGTGAATATTTTTAAAATTTTAAGTAATTTTTTTAATTTTTTAAATGCACTGTACTTAGATGCATTTAAATAGTAAAATATTTGTAAAAAAATTAAAAAAATTAATAAATGCACAAAAATATATTGAATTTTATATTTTTTATTTATATTTTTGGTATTTAATGAATTTTTTTTAATTTTTTTTTACAAATATTATATTTTTTAAGTATATTTATGTTAAATTTGTTTAAAAATTAAAAAAATTACTTAAAATATTAAAAAATTAGTGAAAATAAAAAATACAGAAAACGAAAAATAAGAATTTAAAAAAATGAAACCAAATTTGACAAAATCATCCTTATTCAATGGCACTTATCAAGCTTTATTAAAACGTGGCATTGTGTCCTGACTCATTAAGATGGTGGGTCCACAGGGGGTCAGAACTGAAAAAAAGACAAATTTATTTTCGACAAAATCATCTTTATCAGACATAACATGGTGATGACTCATGATTCAGTAAGAAGCCGGGTCCAATAACCTCACCACCACTAGGTGTTTTTTAATCTAAAAAATAAGCATCGTAATCAATTATTTCAAATAAAGTGGAATTTCAAATCACAACTTTTTAGCTCCAATAATTAACTTTAGGTGTCAAACAAATATGATTACAATTGTGAGTCACCTAATTTGACTTGTGTTTGATTTTGGACCCGTTGGTGTAGCTGTTAAAACAGTTTATAAATTATAACTTAACATATTATAAATTATGACTTTAATCAGAAGTTGTTAATCTGTTTGGTATAGTTGTTAGATTATAGATTTAAGTTGTTGTGTAGTGTTTGTTTAAATAAGCTGTGAAATAACTTTTTCAATTAATTTTTATTTTTTGTTTGTTTATATTTTTCATAAAAAATAATAATAATAATTTATAATCCATTTGAGTCTTTTTTGTTATTTTTAAAAAAATAAAAAATAAAAAAATTTACGAATATAACCATAAATTAACATGTTCACAGCAGAAGCTGATAATCAGAAGTAAGGGGTGAGCAGCTCCTCAGAATCAGCTTTTTTGAGTTAAAATAAGTTGTTAGAATCAGAAGCTGTTTGAAATAAGTTTAACCAAACAGTCTAAAATAACTTTTTCAAAGCTAAAAGCCATAAATTGGCTCTGAAAAACTGAAACAAACACCCCATTTGTCTAAAAAATCATAACTAATTAAGTTCAATCCGATTGATTTAGAATCTATTCATGCAAAGTAACCTAAATTATAGAGAAAATAAAATTAATTGATGAGTGTGGACCTATTTGTCATTTGAACTTAGGTTGAGTTTGTTTTGAAAGTGTGTTAGTTTTTTAATTTTTTTTTTGACTATTTTAACTTGGAGTTAAAAAGTTTTGTTTGAGAAGGACTTTTAATTTTTTTGATTTTTTTGTGAGAGAAAAAATGTAATGATTAATTATGGGTTGAATGTGATATTTTGTCTTATTCGATTAAAAAATCTATTTTATTTTTTGAGACTAAAATAACCAAAAAAACCTGGCATTTAGCTTCCCAAACGGAGCCGCTTTGAATTATTTGTATCTTTTATATAGTTATTCAAATTAAAATCTAAATAAATAAGTAGGTAAGGGTGAAGAACAAAATAATATCTAAATGAAAATACATGCTGCAATAATATTGCCAAAATTGGGGGGGTTTACCAAATTTGTTTGGACGTGGAGTTGGGTCCACTAATCTCATCACTAATGGAAGAAATTTTTTATAATTATATAATATAATTTTAGACCTTTTATTTTTTAATAAATATTAAATAATTTATGTCATTAATTCATTTAATTCACATAAATTTATTTTTACATTACGATTTATTTTCTCATACTAACCAATAAGAAGAGGAGAGAGATCGCAATAAGACAAAATTATAATTTAAATTATTATCACTTGAGCATGAAAGGTAAAAAGTGAGTGAGATAGGGTGTTGAATAGAATTTGAAAGAGATATTATAATGATTATTAAGACCTTTTCCTAATTCTTTATTTTTTTTATTTAAACAAAGATTCGGAATTTTGACTGGAGTTGCGATTTGGGAGACAAAAGGGGGCGTCTATTCTTTTCTTAAGCATAATTTAAGCTGGCGTAGGTTAGTGCTTGGTCCATTGGTCCCCAACCCCTTCAAGATAGAGACAAATTATATCAAAATATACCACTACAGTTCTGTACTTTTTTTCAATAATTTTGTGAGTGACATTTGCCAATATTTTTAATTTTTTTAAAAAAAATTTGTAAAAAATTAAACAGATAATATGACTTTAAAAAGTTAAAAAATAAAAAAAGTAACTTTTAACCGTGTTATCATCTTGATTGATTTTCTTTATTTTTTTATTTATTTTTATAGATAGGAAAATTCTTGAAAGCAATACTAAAAATTGAAGAAAAATTAGAGTAAGGTTATTATTTGATGTTGTGTTTTCATAATACTACATTATATAGGATGAAGGAACTTTATTATTTAATTATTACTATTATTATTAATTATCAAATCTATATATATGGATAATTTCTTAATTTTTTTTTCTGAATGTCTGAATTTTTTTTAAAATAAAATATTCCATGCAATCACATTTTTTATATTTTTTTACCCGTAAATACTTGTATTTATTAATGAACATTTTATTACTTTGTGAATAAAAAAATGAAGTAAGAAATTTAATTAGTGTAGGATTAGTTTTCTATCGATTCACAAATTGTTCATTTTACCCAAAAAAAAAAAAAATTGATTCAAAAATTGTAACTATTTTATTTTATTGTGTTTGTCTTTAAAAAAATAAATGATAAATATATATATTTTTTAAGATACATATTATAAAATACAAAAAAAAAAAAGTTAAGATTATCATATCCATCTAATTTGTTTTTATAAAATATATATAGAATAATGCTTGGGACCCCCCTTTTGAGAGTCACCCCTCACCCCTTTGCCACGTGGCGGGTGGTGATTGGAGGAGCAGAAAAAAAAAGAAAAAGAAAAACAAAATGTAACCAATGAGAGAGAGAGGGGTCAAAGGGGTGGGAGGAAAAGGGGGATGAATCATTGTTGATATATATATATATATATATATATATGAATAATGCTTGGGACCCCCTTTTGGGGGTCACCCCTCACCCCTTTGCCACGTGGCAGGGGTGATTGGAGGAGCAGGAAAAAAAAGAAAAAGAAAAAGAAAAGATAACCAATGAGAGAGAGGGGGTCAAAGGGGGTGGGGAAAAAGGGATGAATCATTACTCTACTTCAGGCTCTCGAAATTGTCAAGGGATACACGAAGTGGGTTTTATTTTTGATTTTTTAACTTTTTATTTTTTTTAGTTTGGGGTTAAAAAATTTAATTTGGAAACAATTTTTGATTTTTTTGTCTCTTTGACTTTTTATAAAAAAAAAATGATGATTATGAATTAGATGTGATATTTTATCTTATTGAATCAAAAAAATTATTTTATTTTTTATAATTAAAATAAAAAAAAAATAAAACCTAACTTTTGACTTTCCAAACGAAGCCATAAGTTAGTCTAACGTTGAATGTGATATTTTGTCTTATTCGATTAAAAAATCTATTTTATTTTTTGAGACTAAAATAACCAAAAAAACCTGGCATTTAGCTTCCCAAACGGAGCCGCTTTGAATTATTTGTATCTTTTATATAGTTATTCAAATTAAAATCTAAATAAATAAGTAGGTAAGGGTGAAGACCAGCCATCACCGACACTCCGATTGCCCTTCACCCATGTCTTCCCAATCCCATCTCCTAAAAACATGAGCATCGTCGTCTTCTTCGGCACCTCCACATACTCAAAATACGCTCCAGCCTTTATGTATATCACAAACCTCGTCGCACTCGAGTTCGGCGCCACCGCCACCGCCTCTCCAATCGTCGTAAAATTCCCACTCCCATCCTTCGCCACCACCACATCGTACTTTGTCTCATTCACCGCCGTCTGCAACAACCTCCTATCTTTCTTCGACAACCACGTCGGAAACCCACCCTTCACGGTCCCATACTCCGGGAATACCTCCGCTCTCGACGACGCCGTTTTAATCTTCCCGACCATCGCGAGAGCGTTACTAACGTGATGAGAGATGTTCTCCAATCGGGCCTCGATGAATGGACGAGTGTTTGATTTACTGTACGCGAACCCGTCTAGACAAGTGAATTGATTCGTCATTGCACCGCTCAGCAAGGTTTGTAAATCGTGGAAGTGTTTTACTGATTTATTGGATGAGGAGAGATCGGAGATTGTGGATTTGAGTTCTGAAATTGAATCGTCTAAGAGCTCGAGACAATCATCGAGGGCTCGTTTGTCGAGTTGGGTTAGCTTCGGGAGCTTATAGCGGAGACGAGTGCAGTTGGATTCGGAAACTCGGACCTCCGACATTGTGTGATTCACTGCCGCGGCGATGATTTGAGGGAGTGATTTTGAGGCGAGATCTGGGAATGTGGAGAGGGTGGAGACGCAGAGGTCTCGGTAGAGTGTTCCATCGCATGCTGAGTGAGCGATTTGAATGTTTTTGTGGATGTGAATGTGATGGGATTCTTCTCTGTTTTTTGGGTTTTTTGTGACAGTAATCAGTGTGGTGAGTGTGAGTAAGGCTAGTGCAGAAATGGGTAATAAAGCAAGAAAGATTTTAGTTCTTTTTTTGAGATGATGATGATACATGGTTGAAAGGGGTTGAGACAGATATAGAGAGATAGAGAGAGAGAGAGAGAGAGAGAGAGGAAGAAGAGAGTCTGTGTTTAAATTTGACGAGTTAGAGCGAGTGGATAGGGAATATATATAGATAGATTAGGCTGGAACTTGGGCGAGTTCGGGTGGAGGCTGTACAAGCTCAATTTAAGTTGGGCTGAGATTCAAGTTCGAATTATAATTTGATATTGCTTGTTTAAGTTCGATTTGAGTTAAATTTAAATTGTCCGATTTGCTCAAATTGTATTTATATATATATTTTTGCAGTCACATTATTCAATTATTAAAATTTGACTCTATTTATATTTTTTTTATATGTAGAAAATTATTAATACCATCAAAACAAATAATTTATATAATGTAAGAGAGATGGCGTTATAGTAGTCTTCACAATTTATGAGTGAAAATAAAATAAAAAAATAAGATTTTATATTATTTGTATATATAATATATATTTAATTGGATTTAATAATCTAAATTACTTTAATATGATGTAATGGCTAATGATTTATATTTATATATATATATATATTTAATATTTTAATATATCTATATATGTATAATTTGAGTTTCGAGTTGCTCGGGTTGTTTGATGCCTTTGTCCAAGCCCGTCTAAATTTAATTCGGGCTTTTGAATATTAGGCTGGAACTTGGGCGAGTTCGGGTGGAGGCTGTCCAAGCTCAATTTAAGTTGTGTTGAGATTCAAGTTCGAATTATAATTTGATATTGTTTGTTTAAGTTCGACCTGAGTTAAATTTAAATTGTCCGACTTGCTCAAATTGTATTTATATATATATTTTTGCAGTCACATTATTCAATTATTAAAATTTGACTATATTTATATTTTTTTTATATGTAGAAAATTATTAATACCATCAAAACAAATAATTTATATAATGTAAGAGAGATGGCGTTATAGTAGTCTTCACAATTTATGAGTGAAAATAAAATAAAAAAATAAGATTTTATATTATTTGTATATATAATATATATTTAATTGGATTTAATAATCTAAATTACTTTAATATGATGTAATGGCTAATGATTTATATTTATATATATATATATATTTAATATTTTAATATATCTATATATGTATAATTTGAGTTTCGAGTTGCTCGGGTTGTTTGATGCCTTTGTCCAAGCCCGTCTAAATTTAATTCGGGCTTTTGAATTTTTACTCAAACCCGTACCGAATTTGAAAATATTTTATCTAAGTCTTAAAAAAATTCGAACTGAGTTCAAGTTGCTCAGATTGAACCCGCCCAAATTACACTCTTGAAATAGATAGTGTGTGTTAACTGTTGATGATAGGTGAATTTGGATTCTCTTTACTATGTTTTTTTTTGTTGCAGCAATACTAATTAGGGCTTCCACTAATTAGGTGGCAGTGGGTCTCGTCATTAATGATGTGATGTTTTGGTCTTGGAATTGTATTTTTTTTTTTTTTAACTTTTTTAATGCATTAGTGCTATTAGTGGTGATATTTTTAATGGGATGAATCATTGCTGTTTTTTGTTTTTGTTTTTGTAATAATTTGACAATGGTGATTTAAGCATTCTAATCTATTGTTGGTTGGTGTTGAATATAATTGGTTGAGTTTCAATAATGTTATGATTATATTGTTGTATTATGTGATATGTTATTGTTGAATAATTGTATTGATAGAAGAGGTAAGCCATGAAATCTATTTAATTAATGGAATGATAAATAAATAAAATATGATATATGAATGTACACATTATAATACTGGTTCAATTTCGGTGGTAATTATATTCATTATTTTTAAATGATTTGGTCTTATCGGTTTGATTAGAGATTTTTCAATTTCGGTAGTGACTACATTCATTACTTTAAAAGATTTGATCACAGAAAATAAAAACTCTAAAAATAAAAACCTAGAAGGGAAAAGGTGATTTTTCACTTTTTTCTATCATTTTTCTTTTCTTCCACAATTTTTTTAAAAAAACAAAAGAAAAAAAAAATTATGATCCAAACACAATCCGAGATAATTTGATCATTGGATATTTTTGTATAAAATCAAATGGCTATTACTTATTATGGGATGTTTCATTCAAAGAAAAATCATAACACATATTAAATGAATTATTTCTCATCTTCTAACGAGCTAACAATAAGGGTCAATATTATTTTATCTATAATTTTTTTTTTTTTTCCTAATGCCATTAAGAACAAATAATATCACACAGTATTCGGTTATAATTACCAGTGATCACTGCAATATCACACTTATAAAATACTTATTTCAATTTGCGAAAATGATAGATGTTATTGCTATATATATAATGAACTGTCATGACAGCACGGATGAGAAATGCAGGATGTTAATGTAAAATGTAAATTGTAAAATGTAAACTACCACCCACCTACCACCTTCACTACCACTCACTCCACCTACCACCTCCACTACCACCTACACCTACTACCATCTTCTTCTCTATATATAGGAATTGTAATATACAACAAATATATCAATCAATCATCAATACATAATTCATTCTCTCTCTTTCTCTATCAATTTATCTAACACAGGAAAAGAAGGGTTGATCAGAATGTAGTAATGGATTGGATTGAATTTGTTGTTTTTACGATACACAACATTGGATTGATTCAAAGGAAAGAGGGAATGGAAGCAACGTACAAAGGAAGCTGTCGGCAAGATGGCTGTTAGGTGTGCCTTGGCTTCATCTGCTTGAAAGAGTTGTGGTGAATGGTGGTGGTGATGTCGCTGTTATTATGCATAATGCATGGTCCGTACTACACGTATATGCATTAATTTTCTTGTCCCATCATTTAGATCAGTAATGATTTTTTTGGATAGTTAAAACTTTAATTTTATAAAAACTATAATCACAATAATTAAAAAGAGAACTACAGTCATATAAAAAAATTATTTTAAAATCACTCTAGAATAAATTTAAAAAAAAAAAATCACTTTGAAAAACATCACTTTAGAGATTCGAATACTCCAAAAAAAAAAAAAATTCATTTTAGAAGATTTTGGACCCATTTAGATTAGTATATAGACCATGACCATTTAGGTTGGTTGTAAAAATAAAAAATATAAAGGGGAGAGGGGAGAGGCGTTAAATTACACTTACCACTTCAATTTTTTTTTTAAATGATAACTTTATAAATTTGATATAATTATATTCAGTGTGTTTTGTTTCAATTTTCTGTATTAAATTTTTTTAAAATTGATTTTTTTAGTTTTCGCATTTTTTTTTGTTTTTAGTGAATATTTTTTAAATTTTAACATTTTTTTTATTTTTTTAGATGCATTTTAGTTAGATGTATCTAAAAAGTAAAAAATTTATGAAAAAATATTTTAAAAAATTGATAAATACATAAAAATACAAAAAATGTACTGAATTCTTGTATTTTTTTATACTTTTGATGTTTAGTGAATTTTTAAAAGATTTTTTTTACTTTTTAGGTGTATTTATGTTAGGTGTGTCTAAAAAGTAAAAAAATTGCTTAAAATATTAAGTAAAAGGGAAAAAACGTTTAATCTCATGCTCTGGTTTTTTTTATCAGTCAATGAAACAATTATCTGAAATATTACTATGTAAAATTAATAATTTTCCTTGTTTTAAAAATTGATAAAAACTGATAATATTCTCAATTTTACTAAATAAGATTTATTGATTCAAAAAATCTTAAATAGGATCTAAGCTACTATAACATTTGTAAATAGAACTTTTAGGTAATTAACTTAAAAAAATAAAAAGAAAAGAGAGAGAAAGGTAGGATCATGGAAGGATTGGTGAGAAAATGAAAAAGTAAGAGAGAGAAGCGGGAAAGTAAAAAATTGTACATGTAAGATATTTTTTGAAAAAAACATCCCAACCATTGTTTTATAGTTTTAACAGGTCTGAGCCGTTCAAATGTCTTAGTAGGATAAAAATATGCTGAAAATTCAAAAACTCTTCTACTTTATTATATAGATTTTTATAATTATAAAAAATAAATAAAATACTTAGGAATTTGTTTTTATAGTTACAAAAATATTTTAATTATTTTTTACATTATTATATGTCAAATACTAGTACAAATTATAAAATATATATTTTTTATGAATGTACCATATCATATCCTATTTCTTTAAGTTTTGCCATATCAACATAACATACTTTAACGCGCACCTGCATGCGTGCTTCCTAGGCAAGGATTCTAATACCTGTATAAGTTAACAATAGATAATACATACCTATTAGAGATGCTCTAGTGCAGCAGCTGTTTGTTAATGTGTTTGATCAATATATTAACTTGGTGAAGGAGATTTGTATTTCAACTTTCTTCATCAATTAATCAGGGAAAGGAATTAATTTACTGACAGATGATCTTTAGGACCTTATTATGATAGATGCAAAAGTAGTGAGTATAGTTCCATTAATAGAAGTAAAAAAAAAAGTCAGTTTTTAACTTTTTATCTATTTTGGGTCACATCACTTCTGACATTTTTTACTTATAAAAAGATAAAATAGACTAAAAAAGTCAAAAAATTAACTTTTTATCAACTTCTCAAAACGCCACATCATATCATTATATCAAACTTGTGGGATTCAGGATTTGAGGATTCGGAGGCATAGTAGGTTGTGCTTTTTAGTGGAGTGTCATTCCAAACCTCTTTTAATAATTTGAACCGTTCATATTGTATGGATCGTCAAGTAGATCATTCATGCAAAAAAATCATATTAATTGGATATCTGCAAGCTTATAATAAAAGCACATTTACTTTTATAAAAACAAACGACTAACATAACTTTCATAAAATTTTAAAAACAATTAGAACATAATCATAAGATTACAAATATTCAATTAATTTAATTTTTTATATAAACAAAAAATCTTAATGAATCGTACAATATAAACAGTTAAAAAAAAAAAAAAAAACTCTAAACGAACTTCTACAAAGAGGCACAATAGGCTAGGTACACCAACACCCGAGGTCCGTGGGATTCAATGGGCCTATTTGGTAGACCTGTGGGAAAGTGATTATAACTTATAGCCTAACAGATTATATCTTATAACTGTGAACATAAGCGGATT